ACTCTTTATATACCAGTTAAAGCCCCATGAAAATCCATTCAGTAGTTCCGGAGATTAGTGAGTTCAAACCAGTGTTTAGAAAACTGTAATGTGTTTTATTTCATTAAGTTTTGCTTATGCTTATGCTTCGGAACAAGACGACAGTCGCAGTCCAAGCACAAGCAGAAACTGATTGCCGACAAAATGCTCAGAGCTGCTGGCAGTCGTTGGTTTAACAGTCGCAGTCGAAGCTCAAGCAAAAACTGATTGCAGACAAAATGCGCAGAGCTGCTGGCAGTCGTTGGTTTATCAGTCGCAGTCGAAGTTCAAGCAAAAACTGATTGCCGACAAAATGCGCAGAGCTGCAGGCAGTCGTTGGTTTAACAGTCGCAGTCGAGCCCCAAGCAGAAACTGATTGCCGACAAAATGCGCAGTTCTTCCGGCAGTCGTTGGTTTGAAATTTTTATACCCTAGCGCACTTGTGCACAAGGGTATTATAACTTTCTTCACATAACGGTTGTTTGTAACAGGCAAAACGAATCGAGATAGATATAGACAAATGTATACATAAATGATCAGAATAATAAGAGAAATCGATAATAAGAGAAATCGATTAAGCGGTGACTGTCTGTCCGTCCGTCTGTCCGTCCGTCTGTGCCCACGATAACTCGAGTAAAAATTGAGATATCTTAACGAAGCTTGGTACGTGCACTTTTTTCGGGCGTAGGACGGATGGTATTGAAAATGGGTAAAATCGGACAATAACCACGCCTACCTCCCATATAACGGTATTTTTCAGAAATACGAAAACTGCGATATTTTAGTAACTAATGTAGATTATTCACTCAAAATTGATATTTACAATAACTTTTAGACGAAAAATAAGAATATTATAAATTTTTTGAAAATGGGCGTAGCCACGCCCACTTATGGTTACATGTGTATATCTTGTTAACCGCTGCACCAATTTCTTCCAAATGGCCGAAAATTTTTAAAATCGGACAATAACCACGCCCACATCCCATATAACGGTAATTTAGAGAAATACGAAATCTTCGATAAATCAGTGAATATTAAAGCTAATTTATTCAAAATTGACGTTTGGAGTAATTCTTTACCAAGAAATACGCTTATGATAATTTTTTGGAAAATGGGCGTGGCGCCGCCCACTTATAATCACATATATGTATCTCGGTAGCCGTTCTACCAATTTGTACCAAACTCGGTATTATTATTGTGATTGCCACATAAAAGCAAAACGTTGAAAACTATTGAAATCGGAGTAAAATTACGGCCGCTTTTCATATAACGGTAAATTTCAGAAATGCTTGAAACTTTAATATTTCGAATTTTAAGGACGCTAATTTACTCAAAATTGATACACCCCGGCTTACCATGTAGCGGTAGCTTTCGGAAAGGTGAACTTAGACTTTCTTACTTGTTCATTTTGATTTCATTCTGATTTTGGTCAGCGGCGCAAGTCGATGTAAAAGCAATATCTTTGCTTTTGCAAGTTGTCGGCAGTCGCAGTCGAAAAATGAGAAATTTCTAGCTTCTGCAAGTGGGCAGCAACGACAGTCAATTGGTATTTTGTGTTTGCTTATGATTTCTTCAGAGCTCGCAAATTACTGTTGACACTTGCGAAGTGTTCGAAAAATACAGTTGAATTTTGGCAATTCTTTTTGTTGAAAGCGTTGCTCTGTTTCCCCATTCAAAAAAATTGTCGAACAAGAAATTGCCAAAAATCAACCTAGCTACTTCCAACTCGCTTTTTATTGTTCTAAAATTTATTATGCCACAAAATTCCATACCCTAAAAGAGATTTAAAATTTGTATGAACATTTCGCTAATTTTTGCTCAAATTTCTTTATTCCATGTACGCATACATATATACATATGTTCATATACACATATTTAAATTTAACTATTTTCACAAACTAAACTCTTTTTAATATATATCTTCTTCTTCTTATTTTTTGGAGCTGTAACCGCCTAATCGATTTTGGCCGAGTTCAGCAAAGCACGCCAGTCGTTTCTCCTCTGTGCCAACTGACGCCAATTGGAAACGCCAAGTGAAGCCAAGTCCTTCTCCACCTGATCTTTCCATCGCAGTGGGGGCCTCCCTCTTCCTCTGCTACCACCAGCGGGTTCCGAGTTGAATACTTTCAGAGCTGGAGCGTCGGTGTCCATTCGAACGACATGACCAAGCCAGCGGAGCCGCTGTATTTTAATTCGCTGCACTATGTCCATATCGTTGTAAAGCTCATACAGTTCATCGTTCCATCGTCTGCGGTACTCGCCGTCGCCAACGCGTAAAGGACCGTAAATCTTCCGCAAAATCTTTCTCTCAAACACCCCAAGAGCCGCCTCATCGGATGTTGTCATTGTCCATGCTTCTGCGCCATATACCAGCACGGGCATGATGAGTGACTTATAGAGCGTGGTTTTCGTACGTCGAGAGGACTTTACTCCTGAATTGCCTACTCAATCTAAAGTAGTACTTGTTGGCAAGAGTGATTCACGTTGGATTTCAGTGCTGACATTATTATCGGTGTTAATGCTGGTTCCCAAGTAAATGAAATCCTCTACTTTCTCGAAATTGTAACTGTCAACAGTGACGTGGGTGCCAAGCCGCGAATGACTGTTTGGTTGATGACAGGAGATACTTCGTCTTGTCCTCGTTTACCACCAGACCCATTCGCTTTGCTTCCCTATCCAACTTGGAAAAGGCAGAACAGACCTCGCGGTTTTTGTTACCGATGATGTCGATGTCATCGGCATAAGCCAGCAATTGCACGCTCTTGTAGTAAATTGTTCCTGAGCGGTTCAGTTCTGCAGCTCTTATTATCTTCTCCAACATCAGATTAAAGAAGTCACATGAAAGGGAGTCGCCCTGTCTGAAACCCCGTTTTGTGGCGAACGGCTCGGAGAGGTCTTTTCCAATTCTGACGGAGCTGGTGGTATTGCTCAACGTCATTTTACACAGCCGTATGAGTTTTGAGGGGATGCCAAATTCAGACATAGCGGCGTATAGGCAACTCCTTTTAGTGCTGTCAAAAGCGGCTTTAAAGTCGACAAATAGGGTGTGAGTGTCGATCCTTTTCTCGCGGGTCTGTCCCAAGGTTTGGCGTATTGTGAATACCTGGTCTATGGTGGATTTGCCAGGTCTAAAGCCACACTGATAAGGCCCAATCAGTTCATTGACGGTGGGCTTCAGTCTTTCACACAATACGCTCGATAAGACCTTGTAACCTATGCTTAGAAGGCTGATCCCGCGGTAGTTGGCGCAAATGGCGGGGTCACCTTTCTTGTGGATTGGGCAGAGCACACTTAAATTCCAGTCGTCGGGCATGCGTTCATATGACCATATTCTGCACAAGATTTGATGCATGCACCTTATCAACTCCTCGCCGCCGTACTTGAATAGCTCAACTGGCAGGCTGTCAGCTCCAGCGGCTTTGTTGTTTTTCAGCCGCGTTATTGCTATACGTACCTCGTCATAGTCAGGCGGTGGAACGTCGACTCCGTCATCATCGACTGCGGGCTCGGGTTCTTCTTCTCCACAACTTTCCGTGCTGCTACCATTTAGTAGGGCGGAAAAGTGTTCCCTCCATAATTTAAGTACGCTCTGGACATCAGTTACTAGGTCGCCATTATTGTTCTTACAGGAGTGCGCCCCGGTCTTTAAACCTTCCGTAAGTCGCCTAACTCTCTGGTAAAATGTTCGGGCATTCCTCCTGTCGGCCAGCATTTCAAGCTCTTCGCACTCACGTATTTCTGCCTCTCTCTTCTTGTTGCGGCAAATACGTCTCGCTTCCCTCTTCAGATCCCTATAGCGGTCCCACATAGCGCGCGTTGCGCCCGATCGCAGCGTGGCCCTGTAGGCGGCATCTTTTTTCTCTGCAGCTTCCTGACACTCCTCATCGTACCAGTTGTTCTTTCGGGCTCGCTGATATCCGACTACTTCTTCGGCGGCCGTACTTAATGAGCGGGAAATGTGGTTCCACTGCTCGCATATGTCGGTTTGTTGAAGAGTGCTCTCTGAGAGCAGGTGTGAGAGTCGAGTAGCGAAAGCGCTGGCTGTCTGTTGTGATTGCAGCTTTTCGACGTTAAGCTTTCCTTGCATATTTGGGCGCACATTTTTTTCTGCACAGAGGCGGGTGCGTATCTTGGCTGCAACAAGATAGTGGTCCGAGTCGATGTTTGGGCCTCGGAGTGTGCGTACGTCTAAAACACTGGAAGCGCGCCTTCCGTCTATCACAACATGATCGATTTGGTTTCTCGTTTTTCGATCCGGAGGCAGCCAGGTAGCTTGATGGATCTTTTTATGCTTGAACCTAGTACTGCATACTACCATGTTTCGGGCCCCGGCGAAGTCGATCAGCCCCAATCCGTTGTCGGACGTTTCGTCGTGGAGGCTGAATTTTCCGACGGTGGTTCCAAAGATCCCTTCTTTGCCCACCCTGGCATTGAAGTCGCCAAGCACGATTTTGATATCATGACGGGGGCAGGCTCGTACGTGCGCTCCAAGCGCTCATAGAAGAGATCCTTGGATGCCTCATCCTTCTCTTCCGTCGGGGCATGGGCGCAGATGAGCGAGAAGTTGAAGAATCTCGCTTTAATGCGGATTGTGGCTAGACGCTCGTCCACCGGGGTGAAGGACAGTACTCGGCGACGGAGTCTCTCTCCCACCACAAATCCAACTCCGAATTTGCGCTCCTTTACATGGCAGCTGTAGTAGACGTCGCAAGGCCCCAGACTTGTTTGCCTTGCCCCGTCCAACGCATTTCTTGGATGGCGGTGATTTCAGCTTTTGTCCTTACGAGGACATCAACCAGCCGGGCAGAGGCACCTTCCCCAT